TTAGTAGTATTAAATATATGTATATATATATTATAGTAATATAATTTTTTAATTAATTTTTTTTTTAGTAATTTTATATAGTTAATTTTAATGTATAGTAATATATATATATATATATTATAGTAATATAATTTTTTAGTTAATTTTTTTTTAGTAATTTTATATAGTTAGTTTTAATTTATAGTAATATATATATATATATATAGTTAGTAATAATAAAATATATATATATATATATATGAGTAATAAAAATGAAAGAGATTTTGTGCCACGAGGTTTGAATCATATTATTATTTATATAAAACTTACTTTGACAAGTGGCATCTAATTCACGAAGACGCGAAACATATCTCTGCAAATCATTTGGTAGATTTTCCACACAATCCAAATAATTTTCAATATAAGTTGCTGAATAAAGGGCCTCGACGACCGCTTGATTTAACATTTTTTTTTCTCAGTTTTTCGTATCACGTTTTAACAGAAAAAATATTATGTGTATATCTATATACATACATAAATATAATACATATATATATATAGATATATATATATATATAGTAGATATTTTTATGCACGTAAACAGCATTCACCAATGATGTAAATTGCACACCAACTAAAGTCAACTTTCTTTAAACGTCTTTTAACATATTACTTTTTTCTAATTACGTTTTTCAACGAATATTGTTAAACTGTTATTGTGTATGTAATAATGCGGTTAATTTACGGAAAAAAACAAAATCACAATACGTCTGTTTTTATACGCGTGCGCGACACATATAAACGTTTTTTTTTTACTTCTTCACTGTTTTTATCTTTTCACCTCTTTCTTTATTCTTTTTTGTTTTGTTTTGTTTTATTTTGTTTTTATGTTTTTCTTCTTCTTTTTTCTTTTTTTTTTTTTTGTCTTTTTCATCCACATAAACAGACAGACGTTTCGAAAGTCGTCACACCGGTTTCTTCTCTCTTTTCCTCTTTATTTTCTTCTTCTTCTTCTTCTTTTTTTTTTCTTTGCATGCCAATATGTTCCACCTACGTTCATAACCTATTCACGTTTAGAATAAATAAAACATATCTCGTTCGTCGAATATCACTTTGTTTTTCTTCCCCTCCTCCACTTATTAATTACACACATACGACGTTATTTATTTATTTGTCCTTTTTTTGTATTTATTATCGTATATAACACTATTTAGTAATATAGGTTATAATTTGACAAAAATGATTAATCTGACGCACAATAAACGTTAGTAACACCATGCATTCCAATTTACGTATCCTACCTAAAAACACATGTTTTAGAAGCAAAGCTACAACATTAGCCATAATTTCACGTGAACCAATGAAATAACTCGATTAACTCGAATATGATCGATATCGTCAACTCGATTGAACGCCATCTTGTGTCGTCGATAATTATAATTCTTTGGATAACTTTTTATTCGATTTATTGTCAATGCATTTATAATTAGAAAAATTTAATATTATTAGATAAATAATTATTATCAACATTATAAATGATTATTTTCTTTTTGTTTTTCAAAAAGTCAACATTTTGTTTTTGTCGTAAAAAATATTCTTTTTAAGATTAACCAATGGGAAAACGTTTAATTTTTCATAGACACGTTTTCATTGGTGCATTTTAAAAACAAAGATTATATATGTTTAATATTTTTTTATTATTCTTCTAACGTTAATTGTATTCATTAAAATAAATAAACGAAGCTTGAATTTTGATTTTCTTTTTTTTCTTAAATAATATCTTTGAAAATAAATATTTTTAGGAACGAAAGAGAGACAGAGAGAGAACATTTGCATTGCAGGATGTGTAAGGTAGCGACATCGTTACTCGACGGGGATAGAATGAACTACGTATGAAATTTATGAAAATGTCGATAATATAGATACTCTGTTAAGAAAGTTTAACTGTTACCGACGAAGCATTTACAGAAAACTGTTTTCTTTTCTTGTAATACAAAATGACTATTTATATGTTACAAAAATGGAATTAACTTTCTTTTAACTCTTCAGATATATATTAATTTATAATATTTAATTTTATTTTCTATTCGGATCTCTGGCAGGGACGTTGATGTAACAATTCGACCTATCTACTTTAATTTTAAATTTAGTCACCAGACTGCGTATTCAAGTGCTACAGATCCCAATAGTTTTATTTTCTTTTTTTTTTTGATATATTACTCAATTTATCACCTGTTTAAAAAGAGATAGAAAAAAAAGCACAAACTATTTTTAAATAAATTTCATATTTTATTCAATATTGATTGAAACAAATTTAATCGAACAATTTCTATTTCGAAATTATTACTAAAATTACAAGGGGCCACTAAAGAGGACAAACTCATCATCCATCATTCCTTGTCGCGATGCATCATGTTCATCAAACACTTAAATCTGTTTGAAGTAAGGCAATCGTCGATAGGACGAATTCAAATATTTTCGTCCATCACGTTGAAATTGTTCCTTCGACGAACATCTTTCCCATAATTTTCTAGCCAAATAAGAATTACCTTCAGCTATTTTGTTTATTATTCTTCCTTCACTCTCGAGTATACAATGCAACATTGTACTCAACTCTTTACGCATGGTTTTCTTGTTTCTTCGTCTCAATGAGTAATCTGTCAAATTAAAAAAACAGAAAAAAGAAGAAAAATTGAGAGAGAAAAACAAAGCTGACAATGAAAATTAATCCTACATTTATGAACAAAAATTTAACCCCTTAGCACTCGGCAGATTAAGTGACAACTCGAGTGGCGCTGATACGGCGCCCAAGCTGATTTCAAGTCATTTGTTTACACTATCCTGCTTATTTACGATAGATGATAAGATATTTATTTTAATGTTGAATTATTACAGTTTTATAAATAATTACAATTGAAAATTACTTAACATTGTTATTCAATAATATTAAAATTTATATTTTTACTAAACCAAGTTATTGATTATTCCTTCTGAACGTTTCAAAATTGCTCGTTTAATTTTAACACGTTGACGCCGGCGTCGATTTTCAGTGTCTGCGTTGTGGGGCGGCACTCGAATCTAAGATGCGCTTCATCTGGCGGCGCGTGATTTTTGCCTGTTCAAACCTGGACCAAGATGGACCACTGGTGGTACGCGCCGCCCGATGGGACAGTCAAGCGCGGGTCACCGGTGGTACGCGCCGCTCGATGGGACAGTCAAGCGCGGGCCACCGGTGGTACGCGCCGGCGTGAACGTGTTAAACAACTACCCCTTTCCCCCCGCCCCACCCCCCACAAGGCAATTTTCTTATTCTATTTTAAAAGAAAACTTTACAAATGTTTTTTTTTTTTAAATAATTGTTAACGATACAAAAATAATTGCGAAAAGTCTTTAAGTAAATGTGTGCGCAATAATCCTATATACAAATGAGAACTTCAATTAGCAACAAGTTCGTGTATTACTCTTTCTCTTCGCATGCAAACTTATTTTCTCATTTGCGATTCTCTCAAAAGGCCATATGACCCTCGACTTTTAAAGAGAGGAGGAGATAAGTAAGGGGGTGGGAGGGAAAGAGGGGGGAGGAGAAAGAGAGAGAGAGAGAGAAAAAGAAAAGAAAATAAAAGCGGGAAACCTTTTTTTCTTTTCCCATGCAACAACAAAAAGGGAAGGTGGGAAGGGGAAGGGTAGGGAGGGGAGGGGATGCACAAAGTTGAATATCTAATACGTCTAGCTTATGTTTATCGCGTGTTTACTTACGTAAGCATTAATAATACTACTACTACTACTACTACTCATGACGGTATTACAGTATTAACGTTATCGTCACACACAAAAAAAAAAGAAAATCCATCAGATTGATGATATATCTTTGTAAAAAGTACATTGACTCTGTTTTTAAATGAAAACCGTAAAAATGTAAAATCCCTTTTCTCTGTTAGGTTGCGTCATCTTGTGATACTCTTGTAAAGTGCCTGTAGGCAGAGTTGAACAGAAAGATAGAGAGAGAGAAAGAGAGAGAAAGAGAGAGAAAGAGAACTCGGAAGGGTTTTTTGCAGGAAACGTACTACGCGGCAAAAAAAATAAAAAATAGCAGTAATTTCTGTCCCTTAGAGGCGCACGTGCGCCAGCCGAAAATCTCGGATATATTCCCGTTCGTCGAGCCGAGTTGAGTAGGATTTCCCTCATTGCGGGGCCTGTTTAAACAAGGGGAAGCAGAGTCATTGTACCTATACCTTCTCTCTCTCTTTCTCTTTCTCTCTCTCTCTCTCACTCACTCTTTGTTCTATAGAATGAGAAAGAGAGAGAGAAAGAGAGATATTCTTCTTCCCTTGTCTTGCAAATGCAGCTGCGTGTATTACACATACGTAATATGGAACACTGGCCACGTTTATGAAAAGGTATGAGGGTAATCGCTACGATAGAAATATACTTCTTCCTTTTGAATAAACTCTGACTGTAAAAGGAGCAGTAAATTGCTTTCTTTTCGGTGTCTTCCATTTTATACGTTTTTGTTAAGCAACGTGTTTGGGGAACTTCGAAGAAGTCGTGTCTCGTATAATAGTTGATCTTTTTGTAAATATTTAGTTATAGGGTTAGTTTTGTTATAGATATATGTATATGTTCCTTCCTGTATTATATATTATTATACATACATATACACACGTGTGCACGACATATTGGTAATAATAATAATAATCGTTCACATTTATATTTTTGACAATAACAAACGAAACTTTTTTGGCATTCGACATTTTGGTTGACGATTTTCTGAAAAATATTCAACGGTGTTTCGTCTCCTTTTTTTTTTTATCTCAATCTTTTATATTTTTGTTTTTAACGAAATTATTTCAATCAACTTTTTCGTATGTTAATTTTATATTCAAAAAAAAAAAAAAAAGAAAATTGTAATTAATTTTAGAAATAATTTTAAACGAAAAGTTAATACTCAATTGAACAGTTGCTTTGATTTAATCTCATTTATTATTTTTGATTCCTGATAGAAGAACACTTAAGAACTTTTAACGTTTTAACGATAGGAAAAAAGAATAAAAAAAAAAAAAAAAATAGAAACAGAGAGAAAATCCAGTAATAGTTAATAGAATTGGTAAATAGACTAACGTGAAACAAATATCGAGTGTTCGAGTTTACTGACGTTTTTCCAAAGGGAACATATTTTATTCATAAAACCCAAAAAAGACGGCAAAATGTTATCGACGATTTGCTTCTTTTTTTGGGAGGTCTGGAACTGTCCTTTAATGTTGACGAATCCAAAAAAGAAAAAAAAAAAGAAATAAGAAAAGAAGAAAAAAAAAGCGAATGAACTACGAAGTTGAGTTCGAGTCGAGTCGAGATTTTTCTTTGTTTATGTTTTTTTTTCTTCTATTTTCGTCGATTACTTAATCCTTTGAATGCTAAAGGCGTATATATACGCTCTCACAAATCCATCAATATACACGAAAGGCGTAAATATACGCCCTCTGTATTTTTTTTTTTTACTATAATACCATAGCAACTAAATATTGTGCAATTATTTCAATAGTCGTTTAATTAATTACTTTTATATTTGAAATTCGTCTATTTTTACTATTTACACTTTTCCAAATTCAAGCAATCAAAATCGTGGCCCTTGCATAGCGGCCCGTTGCTCCGTTGCCTATCCGTATACAGGGCTCCGTTGCTTATCCGTATACAGGCTCCGTTGCCTCGCCATCTACCGGTTCGTTGCCTGAACTACCCATTTTTTTTCAAATCACTCCCTATTCTAAAGAAGTTTTCACTTCAATAAAGGTCACCGGTATGGTCTCTGGGTGGAATAGCTGATAAAAAGTACACTTTTCCAAATTTAAGCAATCAAAATCGTTGCCTTTGCATAGCGGCCCGTTTCTCCGTTGTCTATCCGTATACAGGGCTCCGTTGCCTCGCCATCTACCAGTTCGTTGCCTGAACTACCCATTTCTTTTCAAATCACTGCCTATTCTAAAGAAGTTTTTACTTCAAAAATTAGAAAAAAAATTCATAATTTTTATTTTATTTGCCATTATTATTATCTGTTTTGGTCAGAATAGTCGAATGGAAAAACAGTCGAAGCGACTTTACATGCGAAAATTGCGCCATTCATATTAATGGATAGAGACCCTGTAGGAGGGACGCGCCATGTGGATTACAAGGCTGAAAATGTTGGGGAGACAGCTTCCGTTGCATCGCGCAGCCATGTTAATCTTTAGTCTGTATTAACGGCTGTGATTAGTTTAAGTTTGGAATACTTCTAGTTTTTATTGTGATATTTATATTTAATTGTTTCGTTTTGTTTTTTAGTAGTTTTCTATAAGTGTAAGTTTAATTTACTCATTTAATAATTACAAGTGTATAACTGTACAAACCTAACCTATAACTTATCGTTTGTTTACAGACTTATTGCCTATTATCAAATCAAACTTAATTGAATCTTTCTTATCTGAATTTATAATAATTTTTTTTTTTGTGTAACCTGTTCTATTTTAATATAAATTTTTAATTATCATTAACAATATAGTTCATTTTTTTTTCTCTGTATTTGATGCAATTCATTATTTCAATGTTTGAATATTTCGCGCGCAATCACGTGACTACACGACGAGTTCCTGTCCCCCAGTAATGTACATGGCCCGTCCCTCCTATAGGGTTTCTATTAATGGATTGGTTCGAGAGTGCACCGCAGTCAAAGGGTTAACCAACAAAAGGATAAAAGAGGAGGAGGGAGATATAACAATAATTATTTCAAATGATATATAATATATAATATATATATATATATATAGCGTGAAAACTTATCTCTTTATTTCAAGGTTCACACAACTGGTAAATATAATCCGTGCCGTATGTGCAAGTGGTACATGAAAAACGGCTTACTTATGCTTAAAAGTATGAGGATTATTACACATATGTTAAGTCGTATTGGTAATGGTGTTTGAAAGGCTTGGTTGAGGTTGAGATTGGGAGAGTGGGCTTGGGTTGGATAGTAAAATAAAAGTATTGTTATTGATTAATTAGATACAACAAATTAATTACACGATTTTAAACCATAGATCGAGTCAAGAACAATACATAAAGAAAACTATCACGAATTTTTCTCGCAATATTTTACGAGACAAATCGATGATTTCGATAGAAGCAAAGAGAAAAAAAAAACAAAATACACGAAAATAAGGATAAAATGTATTAATGAACACAAAACACAAAGAAAAAAAAAGAAAATAAACAAAAACAATTAGAAGAGAAATAGAATAAGGGAAAGAGATGTGTGGTGTGCTAAAACGGTAAATGTAAGTGGTAGTGGTGGTTGTGGTTGGTGTTGGTGGTGGTAGTAGTAGTAGTAGTAGTGGGTTAGAAAAGGTGGAACGACCGATGACGGAAAAATAATGCGAAAAAATTAATTCAAATTCGGCTGATTCGACATTAAACTCTCGATCTCCCTGATCGTCAAACTTTTTTTTTCGGAGAACCAATACCAAATGCTAAAAGAAAGAAAAAACAAACAAAAAGCTGCACGTTGAGACGCAAGCATTACGTGTGTGTCACAGAATGTTAAATTATTCAAAATCATATAGCCTGATACATTGGTATATATACATATACATATATACATATATATATGTTACTATGTGATGTATAATATGTACGTACGTATATATATATATATATTTAATGAACGTGTATTTATAGCAAATACGTGCGATGGATCCAATTGATCCTTCTCCTCCTCCCCCTCTTCCACCTCCACCTCCACTTCCTCTTCCTCCTCCTCCTCCTCCTCCTATTTTTCCTTCCCAGACGCGACAAATCAACTTCAATTTTAAAAATCCCAAATCTTTCCCTTCTATACGATAAAAAAGCAACCCTCCTTCCCCCCCACCCCAAACTTTGACAATACTTTTACGATTCCTTTCTTTCTTCTGTTACACGATTATTTTTTTTTCTTCTGTGTCCTTTCAAACGCTGCTTGTGTTTAAACAAAAAAAAAAAAGAAAAAAAGAAAAAAAAATAATCAAACAACGATATAAACATTCCGATGATAATCCTTTACGATCTTTTATAGGAACAGTTTGAATAGAATCCTTCAAGTTCAACTATCTTGGAAGATTAAATCCAGGATTATTTTAGATGGATGGACAGGTTTGATGTTAAGTCAAAGTAAAAGTTCGATTGAATTCGACGACGGAAGGAAAGGGGGGGGGGGCCGGGGGTTGAATTAAGGTGATCGGATTAATTTTCATGATTGGTGGAATCAAAAAAAAAACCATATATTGTTGTTGGTGACAATATGTGGGAAAAAAAAACATAATATATATATATATATATTGATTGTACTGAGAAGATTGTCTCATTGTTTTACGAGAAATATCAATGATAATCCTATGCAATTATGTAAAATACAATTGTGTAAAGTAAATTTGTGCAGGTTCGGGGGTTGGAAGGAAAAGAGGACGAGAGAGAGAGAGAGAGAGTGAGATAAAGAGAGAGAAAGAGAGAGAGAGAAAGAAAGAGAAAGATAAAGAGTGTGTGTATATGTGTGAGAGAGAGAGAAAGAGAGAGACTAATTTGGATAGAATCGCGACGCGAATAGAAACACATAGAACAACAAACGATACAATAACGAACAATGCGTGTGATGGGAGAGAGACTTGGTCGTGTCGTCGAGTAAAGCCGAGTCGAACGAAGACATATCGGGTCTAATGAACCTTCACGACACCACCGGCGCCATAAGCACCCGCTAGAAGAGCTTGCGTACCATACAAAGATCCTGCCCTTAGTCCAAGTCCAAGTCCAAGATTTGCAGCAAGTAAATTAGGCGCTGTCAAAGCTGACCCACTTACGAGAGAAGATCGAATTAAGGGTCCACCAATAGCAATCTACAAATTAAAAATTATCATTAGTGTATATTTACTTCAATGGCACATAGTTTTGTTCAAAACCTTTTCATCTTTAACACGTTAAGTGCCACGTGAATTATTACGGAAATCTTTGTCAGGCCACGCACGTGGTCGTATGCGTTAAACAAGTTCAGTGTCAGTCATTGATGACTGACGTGGCCTAAATGGGAAGTTTAGTGTTAGTCACTTATGACTGACGTGGCACTCAACGTGTTAATCCAAACTTTAACCCTTTCGATTACGAGCGCCGTATATATCCGGCATCCACGTGATAACATGTACGTACGAACGCCGGATATATTCGGCATCTGTGCGTGCTTGTACACGTGCTTCCGTACGGTGAAATTGTTACGGTTACGATTTCGTATTATTAGTTTAATCAATTCAATAGATTTATCATACAAATCAGATTGGTTGTTAGTGTAGAAAAAAGTAAGATCAATGATTGATTAATAATGAAGTATAATTTACCTGAGGACGTAGAGCTACTGCGCCTGGTGCTGTAGCAGCTGTAAGTACTTGTCCAGGACGAGTAATGAGTTGAGGTCCTGTGGCAACTGCAACGGCAGGTCGAGAAGCGGCTACAGCAGCGACCGGTGCAACTGATGCAGTAACTGGTACGGCAGTTTTTGTGACGGTTACGCTAGGATCCTTTTGTACGACGGCATTAAATCCGTTGATTGGATCAGCGGCATAGGAAACAATACGTCGAGAACCATCAGGTTCGATAAGACTGTAACTACCTTGAACTACATCACCACTGCGTGTTTCTTCTTGTGCCTTGTTGTCACCTGTGATAAGTGATTACAAGTTTGATGATAATAAATGAACTATATATAGAATTGTTATAGAAAATATAATATGAAAATAAAGAAATATTTACCAGTAAGTCCGTCGGCAACGCTATAACTAAAACTGTATTGAGGATTGGGATCGTAATTTTCTGTTCTGATAACAGTGGCTGGTGCTGCGGCAAGTCCAACTGTGGCTGCTCCTGGCAGAATACCTCCGTGACAGGCTGCCAGGAGAGATGTAAAAAAACCAAGAGTCTGCATATTAAAAAAAAAAAAAAAAAAAAAAAAAACAGATATAGATTAAATATGGTGTAAAAGATTATCTGATATATAATCTTATTATTATATTTTTTTTCTGTACGTTTTAGTGGACAAGAAATTCATGCAAGGATTCATAAGTCAGAAATGATTTAAAAATATGAAATGGGATAAAGAAAGAAACGAGAAATGGATTAATTTAGTAACGCTGGATTACTTTGAAATCCATGGTAATTGGAGTCTGGACGTTTGCTGGTTGCTGCCCCGAAGACTGCTTGCTAAGAAGGACCGTGCAAGCTGACTTTATACCAATCGGCATCGGTTGTCCTCTCTCCCCCTCTCAATATTCTATTCGTCATACGTATTTTCTTTGTGTGTGTTCGAGTGTGTGCGCGCGTGTGTATGTGTGTGTGTGTAGACGCATACAAAGTGATTGCACTCGTACTTGGGTGATTTCGTAGGACTCTGTTCTACGCGATCGTGCGTAGGATATTCGTCCTATGTATTCCGTTTTCGTACAATTCCGTCGTCTAGAAAGGAAATCCCGTGATTTCATCTTGACAAAGAATTTTCAACAAACTTCAACGATTCTTTGATTTTACGCTTTTCTGCTTCCCATTTTTTTTTTATTTTTTATTTCTTTTCATAGCATTTAGAATGTTTGTATCAACTTCAATCAAATTCGTTTGAAATTTGTTGCAAAGTTTATGCACGTGTGTATTACTTTTTATTTTTGCATACTTTCGAAGAGTATATTCTTTTTTTTTCTTTTTTGTTTTTTTTTTACAGCTGTATAGATTTGATTTTTATTTCAGATTATTTATTTATTTATTTTTTTTATTTGTTATTATTTAGTAAGTTGACGTTGATTCATGATGAAAGATGTAGACATTTATCAAGGTAATATTTTGCGAATAGGCAAATATTTATATAAGAAGAGGTTAACTTATGCGCATACTGGATCATAATACAAAATCTTATTCTTGATCTAGGTCGCTGTCAAAAAGTTTGAAAAACGTTATCTTGTAAGTAACGTTCTAAATTTGTTGGAAAACGACCTACTTCGTAGTGTTAGAGATGGATTTGTTGAAAATTAAATTGAAGAAAGAGAGAGAGAGAGACAGAGAGAGATAGAAAATTGGGTTGTCAGAGTGAAAGAATATGTAAAAAGGGCAAGTCCATTTTGTTAATCGTTAAGACATTAAAATCTACTATTAAAGTCCTTAGCTAGGTCTTCCTTACTTTTGTTTCCATTAAAATACGAACGGGGGATGATTCTTAATTTTGTCCAACCTCGTTTAGTCCACGTTACGATCGACCCAGTCCAATTTTATTACTTACTTGATAATATCGCATTAATTTGGAAAAGTGCTCTAGTTTCTATTAATATTAGAACCCTTTTCTTTTCTTTTTTTTTTTTTTTCTTCCCATTTATTTTCTTTTGAATCAGATACAAATTCACGACCTGGATCTTGGATGTAACAGGTGTAGATATACAACCTTAAATAGAATAAGTGAGATGAAAAACGTAAATATGTCAAATTTACAAAAAAGGTCACCAGATTTCAATGTGTTCGTGTTTCATTTAACATTTGTATTTTACTTGGGTGTGTTTTATTAAGAATTTATCATGAATAAGATCTTCACTGTATGACAAATTTTTCTATTCAAATAAATATATATATATATATATATATATATATTGGGTTGTCCTGAAAATTCGTGCCAATTTTGACGAAAGATTGAAATGCAACCTCCATTTAAGTTTCTTTTTTGTTATATATTTATTAAATAATAAATATAACTATATATATAACTATAAAAATAATATAACAATATATAATAATAAATAATAAATGTAATAATAAATATAATAATATAACGACTTAAAAATTTTGTGCTTCCTAAACTTTTCAGGTTTTTTTTTAGCAAAAGAACTTTAATGCTATCTATCGAAAATCGGCACGAACTTTTGTGTTATATATTTATTACATAATAAATATAATTATATATATAATTATAAAAATAATATAATAATATATAATAATAAATAATAAATATAATAATAGAACAACTTAAAAATTTCGTGCTTCTCAAACTTTTCAGGTTTTTTTAGCAAAACAACTTTAATGCCATCTATCAAAAATCGACACGAACTTTTCGGACAACCTAATACTTTGAAATTCATTATATCTCCTTTATTTAAGTATTTATAAATTTTTAGAATATTCCTGATATGAATTTTCTAATCAATTTAATAAGAATAAAACTATGATTAGATTATTATAAAAAAAAGTAAAATAAAGTAAATAACAGAGAATGAAAATTGGTACATGATTTAATATTAAACGAAGGTTACATCAACTTGGTAACCTAATTAAAGTTACATATAATAAAAGAACAAGAGATATCGGTGAGACGTTTATCGTAAGAGGATGATTAGGTGGTATCAAATGATGACGATGTGTAAATTAATAATCGATATCATTGCAACATTTGGTAATAAAATCTTTGCTTGGTTTGCGAGGACATTTGACATAGTGTTATACGTTGAAATCAGGATCGAGATCAAGATGAAGAAACAAATAAAGAAAGAAAGAAACAGTAATAGAAAGAAAGAAAGAAAGAAAGAAAGAAAGAAATAAAGAAAGAGAGAGAGAGAGAGAGAGAAGGGTGGTTAGTAGCTAACACGACCGATACATGTAGGTCAAGTAATTCGAGTGGTAATTTAAGTAGCACCCAACCAACGTAGTTGCTAAGAACGTTCTTCGTAATTCTAGATCGGCTGGTTTCACAAACACTCGGATGATATCTCCAGGTAAAAGCACTAAAAGAAGACATAGGTAGACGACACACATATACACACAGGTATCACCATTGCAGAAAGTATTGGTGAGGGGAGAACGATACCAAAGTTATAGAAGGGAGGGAGAAAAAGTAGAAGGTGGAGAAGGTGGAGGACTGATTCCTCCGATAAAAGCCACGTCGGCTGGCACCGTATGTCCATTTCCGAAGCTGGAAAGCGATTGAGAACGCAAACGGGGGACGGACCACCACTACGAGACACCTTGCAGTTGTGAAGGAAGATCTCTTCTTATTCTCGACTTCTTTATTTCTTCGTGGATTCAACTTGGCGCGTGCTAACCGAACGACGGAACGGATAGAGTAACCTTTGTTCTTCTTCTAAACTTTCATTCTAATCTTCCATACTTGAGGATTTTTCTATCTTTATCTTTTCTCTCTCTCTCTCTCTCTCTTTCATTTTTATAAAACATATATTGTGTAATCTTCTTAGGGAATTTTTTTCTTTTCACGTTAAACCACGTTCGTTTGTATACGCGATGATTTTTTAATACGTGATAGGGGTAGGTATATCTTTGAAAAGAATATATACGAACAAATTTACTCTTTTACTATTTCTTTTTTAAAGTGTGGATAAAAAGGATAGATCCTTTTTTTTTTTTATATTTTTTTTTTATTTTTTTGAAATGAAAACTTCTTTAGAATGGGAGTGATTTGAAAAAATGAAACGTGGCGCGATGTAACGCGGCGATGTAGCGCGCCGATGAAACGGCCAAGATAAAAAAAAAACTAAGATTCGAGAGAAAGAGACGAATGCAGAATATCAGGAGTAGGATAATTGTTAAGTTTATTTGTTATAATATTATTATTATATTATTGTTATCACATTTAAAAATTATTATACGTTTTATTGAAAACAAATATAAATAGATAACATATTACACGGCAAGCAAGTACTCAATTCAAAGAAATGAGACGAGTTGCTTCTGGTAACTAAAAAATGCATGGTAACTAAACACCACTGTTAGTGTTGTAAAAACCTCTATAGTAAGGTTTTTTCCGAAAAGTAGTGAGGTTTTTTCCGAAAAGTAGTGAGGTTTTTTTCCGAAAAGTAGTGAGGTTTTTTCCGAAATGTAGTGAGAAAGGAAAGACTCTAAGGAAAGACCCTACGGACTTATCGGAAAGACCCTACGGACTTATCGGAAAGACCCTACGGACTTATCGGAAAGACCCTACGGACTTATCCGAAAGACCCTACGGACTTATCGGAAAGACCCTACGGACTTATCGGAAAGACCCTACGGACTTATCGGAAAGACCCTACGGACTTATCGGAACCGCCCTACGGACTTATCGGAAAGACCCTACGGACTTATCGGAAATACCCTACGGACTTATCGGAAAGACCCTACGGACTTATCAGAAATACTTTACGTACGAGGTTTTTTCTGAAAAGTAGTGAGGCTTTTTCCGAAAAGTAGTGAGGTTTTTTCCGAAAAGTAGTGAGGTTTTTTCCGAAAAGTAGTGAGGCTTTTTCCGAAAAGTAGTGAGGTTTTTTCCGAAAAGTAGTGAGGTTTTTTTGCGATAAGTAAGTCCATAGGGTCTTTTCGATAAGTCCGTAGGGTCTTTCCTTAGAGTCTTTCCTTTCTCACTACATTTCAGAAAATACCTCACTTCTTTTCTGAAAAAACCTCACTGATTTTCGGAAAAAACTTCACTACTTTTCAGAAAAAACCTCGTACGTAAAGTATTTCTGATAAGTCCGTAGGGTATTTCCGATAAGTCCGTAGGGT